ATCCAACACCAACCCAAAAACCAAACCCACTGCCATTGAGTCTATTCTAACTCATAGCAACCCTACAGGGCAGAGTAGTATTGCCTCATAGGGTTTCCAAGGCTGTAAATCTTTAAGGAAGCAGACTGCTACATCTTTCTCCCATGGAGTGGCTGTTGAGTTCTAACCTCCAATCTTTTAGTTAGCAGCTAAATACTTTTAACCACTATGCCACCAGAACTTCTTCCATCCAACACACACAACTCACTGTCGTTGAGTCAATTCTTACTCCTAGCGACCCCTCCTTGGGTTTCCAAGGCAGTATCACTACAGAAGTAGATTGCCTAATCGTCCTTCCGAGGATTGGCTGGTGGGTTTGAACTGCCAGCCTTCTAGTTAGCAGTCAAGTGTCTTAGTCACTACCCCACCAAAGCTCCCCCATCCAACACAGAGATTCTTAAACTTTGGTCAATATTAGAATCAGCTGGGGAGCTGGGAGCTAGTCAAGCACACAGAGCCCCAGGCCCATTCAAGTAGAAGAGGACCTAGATTGTTATAGTTTGACCTACTCCCCCAGGCGATTCTGATTTTGACCAAGGTCTGAGAACCAATGATGGAATGCAAACACAGCCTGGAGGCTAAGTTAAGATATTGCCATCTCAGACATGCAGGGGCAAGTCATCCCCACCTTCCACCAGGGAGTACAGGCTGTAGCCCAGGGAACCTGTGGCCTGACTGAGGTCCTGTACAGCTGGCCTTTGCCCCCACAGGGAAGGGATGAGGACATCCTTGATGTTGAGGGGGAGAAGAGCCTCAACAACAGCAGAGCCCACATCAGGACAGAGAACAGGACATAGGTGTTAACTTTCCAATGGAACAGTGAAGCCAGACATAGAGAAAGGAGAGTCATAGCAGAACAGAGGGGCCAAGACGCCGAGAAAGCTATCAGAATTGCTGAATGCCTTTCAATGAATATCTGAGTTTAAATGAACTGAAACAGTAGAGCTTTAATTTCCTTGGTCATTGAATAGAAGCTTACTTCTACTTAGACCAAGAAAATTTGAACAGGGGAAAATAAAAGAATACCACTGGTTAGCAAGTATGCTTAACTCAGCCATCTAATGACAGTATCGGTAACTCAGAATAACAAACATTGGTTTAAACCTTTACAGCGTCAAAAATGTTTTTCACATACAAGGCTTCGCACCTAAATGTCCCAGAGCAGGTTGTTCTGAATAATCAGTTGGCCAAATTGAAGTGGGTAGGAGCCAAGACCCCATCAGAGTTGCCTAAAGCACCCTAAACCTAGATGCAGGCTGGCAGTGCTGGGTGGTGGCAGAGACTAAGGCAGTATTTCTTGCTTGGTGTCTTTTTCCCACTGTGCCAGGTTAGTGAGTTGTATGCACTGGGCATTTCCAGCCACTCCCTGCTGGGCAAGTTCCAAAGGATCCCTAAGAACATCTGTGCTGGAGTCAGCTTTGCTGATCACACTAAAAAGGTTCCTTTTGCTTTCTGGCCCTTCCATTTAAAACCCAGCCCCAACTCCTGTCACATGTCACTGATCCTCCACCAGCCGCCTCTGGCACATCCAAACCCAGATGCTTCCACTTAAACACTTACCCAAAAAGCTCAAGCCCTTCTCACCAAACCACAACCCTTAAAATAAGGCTCCATGATACCAAACAGCTCTTCCACCAGCATGTAATAGTAACAGGGGACTCTCAATCACACAGCTACACACCCTCCTCTAATGTATGCAAGGAATAGCACAAAGCACTGAGACCTCACCTTCAGATGTCACCAGGCCAGACTTCTTCCCAGCCTAGCTGTCCCACTGACTCCGGAACAGGAGCAACATCCTCCCTTGTACTTGAAATGACAAGCTTCTTAAGGAAACACCACCCCAAAGACATGAGCATGAGACACCATGAGCCCAGCCCACAAGGAGGAGTACAGGGTCTGGCCAGGAAACGGGTGTGAGACTGAGGTTCTGATGGCTCATGCCCAGACAGTGCATCTGACCTTCTGGGTTTAAGAAACATTGAAAAGCTGATGTCAATTTTCCTCCTATGCTTTTCCTTAATATTTTTAAATATTTGCTTCACTTTCTTCTGACTGTTCTTACCTTCCATTTCTGCCTCTTGATATTCCATCCCTCATCTGCTTCTTTTCTCCAAATTCAAAGGCTAATTGCTTCTTGGAAGCCTCTGCTTATGGTATGGTATAGCAATGACAATAATGTCAATGGCCACGGCCATGGGCCTTAACCCAGGCCCACTGATTAATGGTTTTGGGAGATTTCAGAAGACAACACATGTACATCAACGCAGGAGATGGATTCAGAGCGGGGATGGGGGGCAGCAAAGGAGGAATCTATGCTTTTGGAAAGAGTGGGATGGGGAGCTAGCCCGTGTCTGGGAAGCTGAGTATCATCAAGTCCCCCACATCCATTTGCCTCTTAAGACTGTAAGACACGTATACATGTATGTGTTCACATTGGAGTGGGGCTCACCACAGCCACTTAGAGAACCTGGAATGGAAGGTGTTTTTCCTTCCTCCTGAGTGTCTCAGAAATAGTGAGTCTGAGAAGAAAACATACAGGACAGTGTACCCCTTCAAGGATGGGATGTGAAGGACCAGGGATAGGTGTACAAACAACTTATACACTCCATTTAGGCTGTCTGTCTCCAGGACCTGAGCCGTTCACAACACATCAAAATGAAGACAAAGGACTCGGAACCCAAGCACTTTCCAACTGTCTGTGAAAATGATATGCTCCAGAAATTCCCAGAGGGTCTGCTTGTCTCTTGTGAGAAGCAGCAGCCCCTATGAAAAGACTTGTCTTCTTTTTCTCATTTAATCTTCACAGAAATCCTGTGAGAAATATAATTATCAGCTCCATTTTATAATTGAGGCAACTGAGACACAAAGATGTTAAATTCCCCAAGTCACAAAACAGCTGAATAGTCCTTATGTGGAATCCAGATTCAAGTCTGTCTGCTACCTAAGTCCCTGCTTGCTCTTCCCACTACACTATGCCGTCCTATGGATTGGCTTAAAGCAGGTGAAAGATTATGAGAGGTGGTGGAGCTGGTTTCCATATTCAAACCAAACAGACCTCAAAACACCTGAGGCCAAGAGACATTCTGCTTCCTGTTCCTCTTCACATACTCATGGAGACTGTGCCCACTGCCCTAACTTCATCCACTCCATTACTTAATAATATTTTACTTGGGGAAAAAAATACCCAGAACAGTAGAAAACAATTACATTTTTTAAATGGATGAGCCATAAAATCAGTATTATTTTTAGGTTCATTTATCCATTTAATGAATACTGTTTAACTCCTATTGTCTGTAAAACCCATGGTAGATGCTATGATAGGGAAAAAACAGAATGTTAAAACTAAGTTATTTATCTACCAAAGGTCAAACATCTTTCATCTCCCATCCAAGGCAATCAGAATGTGACATGTGCCAATAGAACTGGGTCTCTCTCTAGTACCATTAGCCAAAGCCAACAAACTTTGACTTTTGTCAGTTTAGACTTCAAAGATTCACAGATTAATGTTTTCATCTAAAAGCAGTCATAGTATTCCTTTATGATGTGAAAAACACCCTTTCCCTGAAATTCTCATCATTTCTAAATTAAGTTCAGGTGACAATTGTTACTGTCAGTTCTACAATGTCAAGTTACAGCACCTATCCCCTTCACCCACCCATCTCAGCTCCCCTCCCAGGCCTTCTCCTTACTTCTCTTTGACTGAATTTTCCTTTCACTACTGCTGTCCCAGCCTGTGTTTAAGAACTGGAGGTTCTTTCTCCAGTAAATCCAAACTCTGGTCTGTCTCAGAGCACTCCAACTCACGAATCTGGCATCTAACAGCCTTCTAGCTGGTCCTTCTTAGCTGAACAATTACCATACCTCCAACCAACCTGAATCACTCTTTGTGAAGAGACATCAGTGCCCACAGAAGTACTGGTTAGTGTTGGTCTATATGGCCCACTAGTGACCCATACCCCATCTCTGAGGGTATGAGCACAGGTCAGCAATAAGAAAACCCCATCATGACCTCAGGTGAAACCCCTACAATCCACATGTGCCCTCTGTCTGGGAGACTGGCTCCCCAGAAACCAGCAGATGACCCTGTAATTCACTTTCCCAGTGAGGTAATGCCAGGAAGGCAGTCTGGAGGGCAGGCATTGGTGTGTGATCGCTGGACAATGCTGCCAAAGTAAATGACTACAGTTTATAGATTAGCCTTGTCAGTTTGGTCAGTGTGATTCAGGCCCCAGGCAACAAGCACCTTCCAGTGAAAGGATAATGAGGGTGCTTGACCCTACAAAGATCTCAGAAGTCCTTACCTCCATTCTCTCCCTGGCCTGTGCCCTGCATCTGTCCCATGGCAGACAGAACTCAGACTCTTACCCTATTACTCTACTGACAGGGACTTCCTAATAGTGTCTGTCTTCAAAGAAAGTGGCAATCATTTTCTTTCTCATAGCTGTGAACACATACACAAACAAACAAATTTATCTCCAGGGAGGAACAAATGGACATCAAGTCATTTCACTGCCTCAGTGACAGAGGCAAAGAAATTCAAAGAAAGATTCAAAAAAATTCTTCAATGCAACACCAAATTGAACACTTCCAAAAAGATTCATCCCAAAATCTATCACCTATATATTTTTTACAACAATAATAATAATAAATCCACAAGCTGAAAAAATATAACCAAGAAGTAGTCCTTGTTGAAGCTGAGTAATGGGTGAGGACATTTATTCTACTTTTGTGAATGCTTGATTTTTTTTTTTTTTTTTTAATAATGCAAAGTTTTTAAAAAAGAACTTACCACCTAGGGACTGGGCTTTTCTAGGACACAGGATTCCACTTCTCCTTCAAAGGGACCAGCAGGACTGAGATTTGAACCAAGTCTCTGTCTACTCACTAGCCCTTTTTCTACAGTACCATTCAGTCTCCCTGCATAGACCCTAATGCTCAACATAACTCTCCTCACTTACGCCTCATCTTCTCATCTTACTGTACTTCAGACCCTTATTACCTCTCACCAGGATTGCAAAAGCTGCCTCCTCTAAAATTCCTTACTCTAGTTGACTCCCTTCAGTCCATCCTTCTGCATCTCACAGAGGAAGATACATTTTAGAGAGCTCATGATGTTACTCCCCTGTTCCCAAATCTTCCATGGCTTCCCACTGTGTCCAAGAAAAAAAAAAAAAAAAAGCTACATTCTTGAAGCTACATGGTCTACCTCTACATACTGAGTACAACAGTGAGAAGTTGTACTTCTCACTGTGCTCTGAGTTCCAGCCACACTGGGCCACTTCCTAACACAAAAATACAAAAAGATTTTCTTATCTCTGTCTACTTGAATTTTCTCTACTTGAGATGCCTTCCTCCATCCCATCCATTGTAAGGCCTTATCCAAGTGCATCCCCATCCCTAACCTAGGAAGCCTTTATTGACACCACTACCCTCAGTCCCAGAAAGTGCTGGATGCCTCCTTCTGCTCCCAGCATACCTGACAGCCACCTTTATCATTTCATATCATATAGCTCTGTATTACATTATTCCTCAGTGTATCCCCCCTTCTAAACCGAGCTGCTTGAGAGAAAACTCAGAACCCAGCAAAGAACTTGACACAGGTGGACACTCAGTAAATGTTTGTTGACACAACATTAAATGTATGTATATCTTAGAGGAGAGAAAAAGGAGAAGGAACATGTGAAAGAGAGACCTTGGCCAGCCTTCTGAAATAAGGATGAGCAATGGCAGTCCCCCATCTCACTTTCTCCATATCTGAGGGCTCCCTTGCAGCCTGAAATTCAGAGACAAAGGCAGCTCAACCATAGGGGGAACTTGGCCATGCTCGAGCCTGACATGAGCAAGAGACATAATTGATGGATGCAATTATATTCCCAAAGGACCAACAGGAGCCAAGGATGTAACTTACTCCAGTGGATGATAAAAACAGGCATCTCTCATTCCATTATTTTAGAATGCAAAGCAACAATGGGAGGAAAAAAAAAAAAAAAAAAAGATGTGAATTGGCAAGTTTTATCTCCCATCTCCTGTGTTCAGAGACTTCATGTATAACTTTAGCTCCTTCCTAGGAGCCTCCCAAGCTTCCTAGGGGAACACAGGACCCAGAATTTGGCAGGCTCTCGGTAAACACTAATTGAATTAACTGAATTTTCCTGTGTATTTGAACCTTTGTACCAAAATTTGTTCAACAACTTCCTTTTGAGTTGATGCCATGGTTTTTCTTTTGCATTAAAAATTTATTTTAAAGCCAGTACAAGACCAAGGAATTTCTTTCAAGACCAGCCTGTGTGTAGTAGGCAACAACAGTATGGGTCTCCCTTTCTCCAGGGGAAGGGAGCTTCCAGCCTTGGGGGTACTTGGCCTCCCAGGGAGAGGCCACAAGCCTGGGCTGGAGGGTATTAGCAGGGTATTAGCAGCTGTCTACACTGGAGGTCTCATTGCCACATGAGAACCAGATGAAGACACTGCACAGAACACACAGCTGCCAAAGAGCCCAGGCTACAAGTGAACAGCTCAGACGAGGGCTTTTCTGGGCTGAGCCTTTGGCAAGAACAAATGAGTTTTCTCCACTGTGGCTGGGATGGGTCTATAGCTGGCCCCTTGGCAGAACCAGCAGAAAGTACTTCACCATCTTTCACCATGACACAGCTTTGCTCACTGAGCCTTGATCATTGAAAATGATCATTTGGAAATGCCCCCACCTTTCAGAAGAAGGCAGCCTCCTCTGCAGAGATGCTAGTCCCTGTTCTGATCCACTAGTTTTTCCCTTCCCTCTCAGTCTAAGGAAGACTGCTTCACATCTTCAGACGTTAAACATATCCAGGTAAAGATAGTTCCTAATATTCTTTTATCTGTATTCTTTGAAAGGCAGCTCTGAGTCCAGTCAGGCCTGGGGACCAAGACCATTTAGGGAGGTCAGACTTTGGAATCCAACAAGGAGGAAACCCTAAGACCCAGGAGCCTTGCTCCCTAGATGCCTTCAAGGAGCCAAGAGCCCTGGGCCCAGCCCTCTTCATTTCAACCCAATTGAACAAGTCCAGAATATGATGTAAGGGAGGAGGTGTAGGGCCAGTCACCAAACTCAGCTCGATAGTCACAAGACACTTGACATTAGGATCACTTCCTTCCCCAAAGAGCCTGAGGCCAGATAGTGGCTTAGGGGCTTTCCCAAGAAAAATGATCCAGGAATCCAGCTTATATATCTGCTCCTACCGAACAAAGACAAGCCATCAGAGGACTACAGTGTACTAACTCACTCCTTGGGCTCTCCTGGAAATCTGTCAGTCTGCCCTGACTTCTGAAACCCTCTCTCACACCATTCCTCCCCTCTTCTTTTCCCTATAGCAGGGCCATTATTCTCCCATAAAAGATAGAAGAGTTCCTCAATTTCTAAAGAAGTGAAAGGTGTCCAGGTCTATGTGACTCAAAAGGGCCACAGGAGGTGGTAGTACAGATGTCAGAATCCCTACCTCAGCCCACTTCAGCCCCAAGCCTTCTGTAGAGGCTGGACTGTGCCAAATAGTGAGTGAGGCTCTGCTTTGGAAGAATACAGTGAAAAAGTTTAAGCTTTGGAGTCAGATCAATTGGGTTTAAATTCTGCCTCTACTACTACAAGCAACTACTAGTTTTTGACCGTGGATAGTATATATTAATCCCTCAGGTTACTGTATAATGCAGATAATATATCTACCTCATACAGGACTGGTTAGAGGGTTAAAAGAACAGGATAAGCTATCTCACTCAGTACCTGGTCCAAAAAAAATGCAGCACCTTGCCTTTTCCCCTCAGAGAACATGTCCCTAAATACACTATTCTAGAAGAAGGATTTGGCCAAGAAACCTCATCAGGGCCTAAATGCTGGAATTAAGAAGGGGGGGAGAAAAAACATGACATGGATTCGCTTTGAGAAGCTAGATCCTGAGGTCTACACACACTGCAGGATTTGTGTGTCTCCAGCAATACCTGGTAGGAGGGAGAGCACCGCTGAAAGGAGGCTGGGGCTATGGGATCTTAAAGTGTCTTATATATCATGTGTCCACTCTTACATCCCCTTGGTGGCTTCCTCAGCCATTCCATAAAGTCAGCAGGTCAAATTCATCATGTTCATGGGTTGGGTGTGTGTGGGGGGCGTATCACCTGGCAAAGAAGTCACAGCTGGGAGATGGGTTTGGAAGACCTCAAATGTAGAGGTTAAAGCTGATGCTGGAGTCCAGGGGGTTGAGAAGGGGAAAAGGCCAAGTCTTGACCATATTCGTGGCTGATTTCAACCTTGATTCAGGAGATCCCTGGCCCCATCCATTAGGGTCAGGGGTGGGGGGAACTCACTGCCATCGAGTCGAACCTGACAGAAGGGCCTATATTAACTCCAGAGCTGGACTTGAGAGAGACAGCAAAGTTGTACCAGTATCCCACAGAGGTCCCACAATTACTGTCTGCAATTTGCCTCTTGCAAGGTACCTATAGCCCAGCAGGCAGTCACTCCAGGGAGTTACTTAGGAAAGCTTTCCGCATGCAATGTATGACAGTAATGCAACAAGATACATTTCTTATGTAGCTTTTATGATCCTTCTTATGAACACCATTGCTCATTTGATTGTCACTTGGTTTATCCAAAATTCTCTTTTAAATGTAAGTAATCATGTCATCTGAGGACTGGATCCGTGACACTGGAGCAGCCCTTGAAAGTTTTCAAAGTGCTCATTATTAGTAGGCAGGACATGGAGGTAGCACTTTCCCAGACCTCACATAGGGCTCTTTCTCCCACCTGAAATCTCCTGTGAAAATGAGACCCTGAGTCATCACAGCCCAGACACTACTCTATCTTAGACCCTAGCCTCCCAGGAGGTCTTCTCAGGTTTTCTCCTTGAGCTCAAGAAAATCTGCCCATTAGGAAGCTTGAAGGACACCTGGTCCACACCAGGTCACCTGAGGAAGGCCCAGGTGGACAGAGGATTGGGCCCTAGGCAGACTTGTTTGGTGATAAAAACCAGTTGGTGTTTCACTACAGCTCTATTAGTATACAAGATAATAACCCAACTGGAGCAGGTAGTCCCTATCGACACTTGCCTGCTCAGAACCTGAATGGGCCAGCCATGGAAACAATGCTCTCCTTTCATGCATGTACCCAATGCCCACACCAAACTCCACAACTCTGCATGGGCAGGTTCTCAGTAAATGCTTACTAAACTGTTCCTTCCTCTCTTCTTTACTCCACAGCCCCATCTGGGTTACTGTAAAGATTTCTGACTCTCATCCCTCACCCCCACCCTTCCAACTCATTCAGTGACACCACTTGTGCTTAACATCCTTCAATGACTGACACCATGGGGTTCTAACAGGTGAGGTGGATTGTAAATAACTTGTTAATACTAATGGAGTAGCCAAGGCTGAAATAGTTTTCATAAAAGTCAGAAAAGATTTGAGGTTATCTTGCTCTATTCTAGTACACTTTCTTGAGTGGGAGTGAAAATAGAGGAATTCAGAAATTGCCTATCATGCTCAGTGAGTAATGGTTTCCATGGTACCACAAATAACTATGCAACCTCCTACTATTTTAGAGATTTACTTCCTAAATAGATATGTGTGTACACATAGGTATTTATCAGGAGCAAGGTGTGTTTCATAAAAATCCAGCCATATCCACCACCAAGTGCCTCTCAAAGGTTAATGTTGCCTGACTGTGGGATGGCTGACCACTTTCCTGCCTCAGCATGGTAAGAACCAGTCTTCATGTAACTTTAAGACCCTCTGTAATTCAAACTCTAGATGGAGTGGCAAGAAGAGTAGAAAGAACATGGGTTTAGGAATCAGGTAGAACTGGCCATAAACCTTATTTCAGCTACTCACCATCTAGGGAATTTTAGGAGTCACTTATCTCTTAGCCTGAGTTTTCTCCTCAGTTAAAGTCATTCAACACCTACCCTGGATCTGTAAGATTTAAGGGAGTACAGATAATTACATGCTCAATGCCTGATATA